CCCATCCATAACTTCAAACGTTGTGATAACGTTCAGGTACCATATGTTAGTTGCGTATCCTTTACAGGACGTTGCAGAACCAACACTATCAGCCCCTGGCTTTTGTGAAGTTTCACTAGGCAAATTTACGTCCAGTAGTTTGCCATTACATCTGGACGGTCAGCTCCCTGATACCACTGTCGAAACCAACGCAAGGCGCATGGCCCGCAGCTGGGATCTAACCCGGTACCTCGGCATTACGAAGCATTCGCATGGACTTAGCCACAGAGCCGACCCAGGTACCATATCTATACAAAAATATTGTATGAAAACCTAGACAATCAACCAGATCTAACCACGTACACATCAACACTACAGCACACCAATGTTGCTACATTTACACAAATTCATATCAAGTAATAATTCTCCATGGCACACCAGTTTAGTCAGATCTGCCCAAATTCACCATCAACACCGTCCTGTCGTGCTGCTCCACGTCACACAGTGATCGCAGTCCAGTCCTCCGTTTTTTTTTTTAAATATCCTGTGCAATTATTCCGAAATCATGGATTGAACTCAAGTTTGATTCTCACTGAAACATTCATGGTAAGATCTATCAGCGCCTGCACCCCTTCAACAATCTTCCATCAGCACTAGAGTTCACTAGCACGGGAGTGTTGATAATCGTGCACACCAGTTACCCCCTTCCTCCCCTAAACAACCCTTACCAGATACTAAAATACCGGCCCAACCACTCGTTTTGGTGCAATCAACACTTCTTAGCCAACATACTTGACACAAAGAAACCATACCACAATTATAGCCGATACTGCTCTCGGCAGGTTGAACGATGCTGAATTTTTGTTTTGCTTTCATAAGTATATATGAGTGGATGGATGGAAGTGCCTGCTTAGTGATTCTATGCTCGATTATTCTCTGGACTTCTTGCTCTTTTTTTGTGTGCAGTGTTTATGTCTGGTAACTGTAATTTCACATCAGGCAATATTTCTCTCTATGACACACCCATCCAGCCCCACATCCACATCACGTAATAAATTTCTATGCCACACAGTCTAGTCAGATCTGCACACATTACCATCAAGCAATAGCAATAGTTCTCTATGACACTAAGATATAGTCACATCTGCACACATTACTATCACGCAATAGCAATAGTTCTCTATGACACTAAGATATAGTCAGATCTGCACACATTACCATCAAGCAATAGCAATAGTTCTTCTCTATGACACTAAGATATAGTCACATCTGCACAAATCGAAAAAAAAAAAAAAATCGCAACAGTGAACAGCTGACTGATACATAGTGATGATGGAACACACACAGGACAGAAATCTAGAGTCTACGATCAATGAAAGAGGCAAAGTACAGAGGCGTGAAACGGAGCTAAGAGTACATTGAACCTGACCCCAAGACTTTTTTAAAAAAGGGATCTCCCCACCCCCAGTTTCTAAAAGGCTTAACCCCCGTCCCACAACTATGTACCAAAGCTCTCTGTTTAGTGTTCGTCGTTTACGCATTTATTATTTCAATATATTATTTAATTTAATTGCCACTCAGCACATGATTATTCTTAGGCACTTGTACAAGACTTAGGGCGACAGAATACTTACCTCCACATCCATATACAATTTGTAATAGGGATGGGCGCCCCTTTCCGTGTCGCAGCCCGTGGCTAAGTTATCTATTTATTAATAATGACGTCATCCTTTCTGCAGCTGGAGCTAGGTTTGCAGACGATAAAAGTTAAGAGGTTCCAGCCATCACATTAGAGCAGCGGTTTTCAAACTATGCGTCGCGACCCTTTTTGTGTGTAGCTCGAACTACATTTTCATAGGGATCGCCAAAGACCATGGCAAAACAAATATTCACTGAAGTTATGAAGTAGGGACGAATATAATTGTATGGTTGGTGGTGGCCACAACATGAGGAACTGTATTAAAGGGTCGCGACATTAGGAAGGTAGAGAACCACTGCATTAGAGGATCTGGGTTCATCTGGGTAAAGATTCGACATCACAACATTCAGGAAAAGCTCATATCCACCCCGTCTCCCTCCTCAACAGCCAGAAAAGCGTTTCCACACTGACGGTATCCGTTACCATCTGGTTAATAACCTGTTTTACCTTTCCCCAGGAGTATCGAGTGTCACCCAGAGCCCGCAGACACATCCCGCTGCATAGTTCTCACCAGGTACATGTTTTTAGTATCTTCCACTTCACTTGTCACCTTGTCCTACAGGTACATGTTTTTAGTATCTTCCACTTCACTTGTCACCTTGTCCTACAGGTACATGTTTTTAGTATCTTCCACTTCACTTGTCACCTTGTCCTACAGGTACATGTTTTTAGTATCTTCCACTTCACTTGTCACCTTGTCCTACAGGTACATGTTTTTAGTATCTTTCATTTCACTTGTCACCTTGTCCTACAGGTACATGTTTTTAGTATCTTTCATTTCACTTGTCACCTTGTCCTACAGGTACATGTTTTTAGTATCTTTCACTTCACTTGTCACCTTGTCCTACAGGTACATGTTTTTAGTATCTTTCACTTCACTTGTCACCTTGTCCTACAGGTACATGTTTTTAGTATCTTTCACTTCACTTGTCACCTTGTCCTACAGGTACATGTTTTTTAGTATCTTTCACTTCACTTGTCACCTTGTCCTACAGGTACATGTTTTTAGTATCTTTCACTTCACTTGTCACCTTGTCCTACAGGTACATGTTTTTAGTATCTTTCACTTCACTTGTCACCTTGTCCTACAGGTACATGTTTTTAGTATCTTTCACTTCACTTGTCACCTTGTCCTACAGGTACATGTTTTTAGTATCTTTGACTTCACTTGTCACCTTGTCCCAGGTACATGTTTTTAGTATCTTTCACTTCACTTGTCACCTTGTCCTGGTACATGTTTTTAGTATCTTTCACTTCAAACAAACTTGTCACCTTGTCCTACAGGTACATGTTTTTAGTATCTTTCACTTCACTTGTCACCTTGTCCTACAGGTACATGTTTTTATTATCTTTCACTTCACTTGTCACCTTGTCCTACAGGTACATGTTAGTCACCTTGTCCTACAGGTACATGTTTTTATCTTTCACTTCACTTGTCACCTTGTCCTACAGGTACATGTTTTTAGTATCTTCACTTCACTTGTCACCTTGTCCTACAGGTACATGTTTTTAGTATCTTTCACTTCACTTGTCACCTTGTCCTACAGGTACATGTTTTTTAGTAATTCATTTCACTTGTCACCCTGTCCTACAGGTACATGTTTTTTAGTATCTTTCACTTCACTTGTCACCTTGTCCTACAGGTACATGTTTTTAGTATCTTTTCATTTCACTTCTGTCACCTTGTCCCTACAGGTACATGTTTTTAGTATCTTTCACTTCACTTGTCACCTTGTCCTACAGGTACATGTTTTTTAGTATCTTCCACTACTTGTCACCTTGTCCTACAGGTACATGTTTTTAGTATCTTCCACTTCACTTGTCACCTTGTCCTACAGGTACATGTTTTTAGTATCTTTCACTTCACTTGTCACCTTGTCCTACAGGTACATTAGAGGAGAGTGGAATCAAAGTTTGACCAAATACATCAGGTGAATTCGTTTTGAGTTGATAATTGTGAATGGCCCAAGATTAGTGTTGTACAATATCCAAACAACCCTTAGCAGAATTAATAGGTTTCTGTAAGAACTAAGGCAGGAGGTTGAAACCTGTACCTGGATTGATACCAGGATGCCAAGCTGTCCAGAAGTGGTCAAATCAAATCTGTTTATCTTGAAAGTAAGTAAGTAAAGTAAAGGACCCTTTTCCACGCCTTTAGGCGTATAGGGCACATAGGGCTAGACCTATATTTTTATAGACCAATCGGCAAAAGATGAGTGATGTGGTCAGCATCACACCGGCCGCCTTTACTTCCCGGGACTGCACCCGGTACCCACTCAAGGCTGGGTCGACCTGGGAGCCAAGGTCATTTTTGAAAATAATCCGGCTCCGCCAGGGAGCGAACCCACGACCTTCCGATCCGCGGCGAGCGTTATCTTGAAAGTATCTTAGAAAATAAACCCTCAGATGATAAAAGTAAAAATAAATATTTTGCTGAATAAATAAGGTAATCAATTATTTACCACAGCTCTAGGAAGGTTTTGTCGTACAAGCATAGCCAGTAATCAAAAATTACATAATGGAATTAATATAAACTAACTGCTAGCTATGTTTCGCTGATTTTTCTAACTTCTTTTTCAGTCTCACACATAAAGAAATAATCTTTCCATAAAATAAAACCGGGCTTATAGAAATTTTTTGACTCAAATGACACATCAGAGCTTCATTTTTGTGGAATTCTTATTTTTTTCCTCAAGTAGAAAAATGTACATTTATATGACATTTATGTAACAATTTATTACGAATTTTAACAGCAATATTTCTTTTAAAACTTATATGTATTTATACACTCAATACTAAATAATTCAATACATCTATGGCGTATTTAAATGGAAAACGAAATCCGTTCACCAGGGTGACAATCTTAATATGGCTTATATTACCAGCATCCTGAAAAATCAAGCTAGAGCTTATTTTCAGGTTTAATCTCATTTTTCGGGGAAACACTTAAAAAAACTGATATCGTTTATTCAATGGAAAGGAGAACAAATATTGCCTGCTCAAAGTTAAACATGAAAACAACATACTTTCGTTACGTGCTTTTGAAACTCTACGGAGCGATAGCAATTTCACAGAAGCCTACTTAACAGCTAATTTTTAGTGTGTGACTAAACACGCCCTAACAGATCCACGTTAATCGAACGGAATCCTAGTTTTACATTTGCAGCGAAACAAATTTGACAAGGACGTGAGCCACATGTCGAGTACAATTCTAACATGAGAGTTGAATATGAATACTTTAAACCATCCCAAACAGCGATCCTCATGGCCAACACACTTCTAATGAACACAAATGCCAACAGACGAAATATTGTCATTGTTATTAGTCTTTCAACATATGCCATTGAGCAACTTGTTGCCTCGGCTTGGCAACCATGTCGTTCCAATGTCGAGTTTCCATGGGTCCACTGCGACAGCCCAGAACTACTCGACCGATCAGTTCATTTCGCCCCACCTTGTCAAAATCCATGACACTAATCTCTAGATTGGCCTCTCTGACTTTCTCCCAAGGAATGTCGAAGGTAAAAGCCTCGTTGTAAGTTGGGTTTAGGGTCTTCATCTTGATGCTCGTCTTCTTTTTCTCCATTCTGGCGGTGCCGTAAAACAGCCAAATTTTCACGTAGGGATCTGTGACGATAAAAACAAGGTAATTTTAAACAATTAGTACACAAATAACAGATCTAACTATTTATTATCTAAAATATTTCTCCGTATCTTGTCAAATACCTCAAGGGAACAACTGGTAGAACTACCCTGGAGTGGTTGCTGCATCAGAGGTCCTAGCACACATGGGGATGCCCAATCTGCAAAGACATCGATTAATTCGACTGGAATACACAAATTATTTAGTATATAGTTACGCTGTACAATTCACTATGGAAGTCTTTGGTTAACCAAGAAATCCTTTTGTTTACACAAAATGAGATTTCTATTCATTACTTCGACCGCTTACTCACATTCCAAAAACCCCCTGTTAATTGTTGTTCTAAATTACCAGGAAGATAATTCCTGCCAATGACATGCCTGGAATCTAGCAGACGACACCTGGAGGAAAAATGGGGCTCTTTGCTCTGACGGACTTTTATTTCATTCACAGGATTCTCCTGTAATTTTAATCAGAGATGTTCTGACTTCAGACTTGATAGAAATCTCTGCTAAACTGTACTCTCTCTCTCTCTCTCTCTCTCTCTCTCTCTCTCTCTCTCTCTCTCTCTCTCTCTCTCTCTCTCTCTCTCTCTCTCTCTCTCTCTCTCCCCTCCCCGAATCTCTCATGTAATTTGCTAACGAACATACACGATTTATGATAAAAATGTATTAAAGACGAGTGTTTGGAAGGGTAGCAGATAAGACGGGCCTGTATGCTCAATCTGCGTGATCACATTGTACAGATGGTGAACGGTAAGAAACAAATAGAAGAACTTGGAGCAATGGCTTGTTTCTCAAACCACTTCTGACTGACTAGGATTTAATTCTTTGGGCACCAGAAGAAAGTTCTTCTTCTTTGCATTCATCGACTGTACAATTCTGGTTGTTCGTCCGCTTCTGGACTTTTAGTCTTGTTACAGAACTTGAGTTTTGCGGGTACGTTTTACAGAGCTACTGGTCCCTGGCCTCACAGTCAAATGCACTTTGACTTCGAAGGAATCACCCCTAGTCGACTTTTACAAGATGCTTGTTTGGGGCGATAGGTCTAATTCAACCCCCCCCCCCCCCCCCCCCCCCCCCCCCCCCCGTAAATAGGAGACCTGAACCCACACGGGGAAGAAGACAAGTTAGTTTTACACTAGTGGACGATATGTGCCTGGGTAAACATCTAAAACACCGAAATATATTTATCTCACTGCAGGACGCATTGACATGATTTCTTTTCTTTCCGTTAGTAACATTTTCATAGCTCACCCCTACCCGGCGACCCCACAGGCTATTCTTCATGAGCCTCCTTTTGGGTGGCGACCCATGGCTAGGAAACCCGAGCTCTACTCTACCGTAGCTCCTCCGGCTTGCCTAGCACCGGATCAATATTTGTGACTTCATTTCTCATGTTAGGTTAGTGGTCTCAACGGTTCTTTCCCAGCCGCTGGTTCCGTGCACTGTGTGGAGATGCTCATCAGGAAATTCTAAAGCAAACATTTTCCAATCACTGACTCTCATCCTGCGTGGTGATTTCTTTATCAGCGCGCGAAATAAGATGCAAGATAAATTAAACACACTTGATGAGATTTCACTACAACACACTGCACAAATTCTTGGGGGAGTGAGAAAATAATGAGAAAATCACGCAAATGATAATCCACTCTCCCTTGATGAAACCACCTCATTTTATGGGGTGAAATCATACACGTATTCAAGTGTCACCGTAGAGGCATATTTGGGGAAAGAACTGGGTGTGGGGGTGTCGATGGGGGAGAGAGGAGGCAGAAATAGAAAATGTAAACGGTTATTTAATAATAAAACATCTGTAAAAGTCAACACAAATGAACACTCGTACACAACTTAGATAATTAACTTTAAAGACATAAATACAGAAGTGTAGAGAAGAAATAGCTGAACACCTAGTATATATATATATATATATATATATATATATATATATATATATATATATATATATATATAGATATATATATATATATATATATATTAGGGCTGTACCGAAAAGTGATTTTCACTGTTCGGCCGAATACGAATAGTGGCACCAACTATTCGGCCGAATACGAATACGAATAGTTTTTCATCATCATCAGGTGCCTTGCCGACTGGCATGGGTGATCATGCCTCTTCACATTCAGCTATCTCCTGCAGCATGTATCAGTTCGTGTGCTGACACACCTCCATGCCATGCAACAAGACTATTAAGAATCTTTTATCGTTGACTTGCTCTATTCCTCCTTCCACAGATCTTTCCAGTGGTCACCAAAAGTTCAATTTTCCGTCTTCTCATAACATGGCTAAAAAATGATGACTGTCTTATTCTGATGTCTGTCATTAGTTGTCTTCGGGCTCCCGCCTCTTTCAAAACCATCGTTCGCTCGGCCGTTCGTTCGATGTAATTTAAACGCACCTTCATATTCTCGTTAGCAATATCTTCAAATTTGATTTGGGCGAAGACACCCTGAAAGAACGAAAAATGCATGATCTCATTCTCTCTCTCTCTCTCTCTCTCTCTCTCTCTCTCTCTCTCTCTCTCTCTCTCTCTCTCTCTCTCTCTCTCTCTCTCTCTCTCTCTCTCACACACACACACACACACACACACACACACACACACACACTCACACATACACACACTGCGGTTGACATTTTATGCAGTTTGTACTACGCAACCAGGTCGCAGTTTCCCCCGGTACGACAGACTTAGGCAACAGCAACTATTGTGTTAATGAGAGGTTATTTCAGTCCTTCACAGTGTATGCAGAAACTGGTGTAAGGTAACCACTATTCGTATTCGACCCGAACGCAACTATTCGACCAAATACCGAATAGTTATAAGGCCCACTATTCGGCCCCGAAGCGAATACGAAGCGAATATTCGGTACAGCCCTAATATATATATATATATATATATATATATATATATATATATATATGTATATATATATATATATATATATATATATATATATATATATATATATATATATATACTATATATATGTGTGTGTGTATGTGTGGGGAGGGAGAGAGAGAGACAGAGAGAGAGAGAGAGAGAGAGAGAGAGAGAGAGAAAGAGAGAGGCAGAGAGAGACAGAGAGAGAGATAGAGAGAGACAGAGGAGTTTCAAATAAATACACACCCCATGCACAAATAATAATAAATCGAATATATAGAATAAGAGAAGTTTTTGAATGCAAAAGAATAAGGCGATATAGGAACACAAAATGAAACAAACGTTGATATACTGAGATCCGGCGGAGATCCAACAAACACATACGCATCAAACACTCTCACATATGTGTGAGATAGAGTATGTGTATTGTTACTCAACAAGATATTTCTTGACACACTTTTGTTTCATTTTATGCAAAAACACAAGAACCATTCCCCACATTTCTCTGAATGTAATTCTGAAGTTTAGGCAAAAAGTAACTAACTGCGAAAAGAAGAAATAAAAAATAGAAAGAAAATCCCCCTGATCCAAAAGTCTGGCAGAACCTACCACAAGAGCGCAGACACACTCGTCGTCCATGGCGACGGAACAAACCTGAAGTAGCGAGGTCCAAATGTCAAGGTAGTAGAAAACTTCAGCAATGGATTACATAGGTCACAAATTATGCAAGGGGGATACGATGATGTAGCGGATAGCGAGCAGGCGAGGGGATGCTCCGAACATTTCATTAATCTTTGATGAACTCGCCATTTATTCATGGTTTGTTTCTGACTTCCATGTTCTTTTCCCCCCATTCAATCAAGTGCCGTTTTCAGGGTGAACATTTCTGTGTATCCATTTTCCCTCTCCGGGTGTCACTAACACTGCTAGTACTTTCATGTTTGCTTCTAAGACTGTTTAAAGCAGTTTGTAGTTGTCGTTGTAAATTACACTGAATATTTCGAATTCAATGTCAGTGTCAGGTCAGGGTAATCATAAGAACCGCTGTTGTCTCTTGTCCAAGGTATTGGTTGAATCTTAAGGATAATTAACTAACATTAAGAATATTCTTTAGGAGAGAACTAAACAAGTTTCAGCGGTCTAAGAGGTAAAGAAAAGACGTTGGTGTTGGATACGACAAACGTTGAGAAAACGTGAGAGCAATATAACTAGAATGTGTTTGCAATGGAACCCACAGAGGAATGAAAAGGCAGACTAAAAACAATCACACACACACACACACACACACACACACACACACACACACACAGGCGCGGAGAAAGGAGTTGGATGGTGAACTAAAAAGACGGGGAGGACATGGGATGAGCTGTATGCAATAGCCAAGGATAGAAGGACGGTGCGAGTTGGCCGATGACCTATACTCCATTGGGGGAATATAATGCAGAAGAAGAAGAATAAGAAGAAGAAGAAGAAGAAGAAGAAGAAGAAGAAGAAGAAGAAGAAGAAGAAGAAGAAGAAAAAGAAGAAAGAGATCCATTGGCGAGACTGATCAGTTCGCAAGTTTAAGCTTTGTGATATTTGCATCCTCGTCTCTCCAATGCCGGCGTGCGCAACTAGCATCGTCTAACAGTAACTGGCAGCTGTCACACGTTATCATGCCTGCATGCATGACGTAAGTATGCAGGGAGCGTTCTTTTCGTTATATTCGAGACCTAAACTGAGTGGAGTTTTGTAATAAACAGTAAACAATAATAATAATACATAGTTAAAATAATGTCTTTTTTGTTTGGCATTGGAAACTGTAGTCGGGAATTAAAGCCGTTACGTGGACGCCTCGCTACTGATCAGATCTCCGTCTGGATGCCAGACCATGCCGTTCGGATTGTGATTTTTAAATCTCATGGTGGGTTACCTATCCCTTACGTCCTTATTAGGACGTAATTTTTTCTTATTTGAAGCCCCACTCTGGCTTTTGCCAGGGGCCGCAATATAGGCAGGCCATCAATATGGCCAATTGTCTGAAGGCGGTTTCTGGGACCTCTCCACAGTGATCCTCATCCACATGGTGGCACTTTGTGTCACCGGGTGTTTGTCGCGTGTGTGATGTCCTGGTGGGGTAGAAAGTCAGTCAGTCAGTCAGTCTCAGGATGGGATGCTAAATCTTTATGTTGCAACCCCGCGGGGACCAACTGATCGATCCATAAATTGGCAATTCGGACACAAGATCTCTGGTACTTTGAAATAGTTCAACTGATAATCTGCAGCTGTACATTTATACACCTCCCAAAAAGACTAATTAGACAAATGACTTCATTAAATAATAATAATAAAAAAAAAAAAAAATGAGCATTTAGTTCAAAAGAAGACTGAGAAAAGCTTTGTCTGAGAGCTGCCCACCATCACATTTGATGGCCGTAACAAAGAAAGACAACTTTCTCTTTTTTCGAGAGTGACAAGACAAGAGCAAGTTTAGCAGCCGCAAAGATTAACGGTGTTACAGAAAAGACGTAGAATGGTCTATCTCGTAAAAACAAGACCATGATATATAAAACGCTACTAAGACCACCTGTTATGTTCAGCCATAAAACCTGGAGTACAATAAAAAGAGGGGAAATATTATTACAATCCTTTGAGAAGAGGAGCTTACCTCAAGTCTTAGCCACATAACAGATGGAGAAAGTAAAGAATGGCGAGTAAGACGCAACAGCGAAGTTAATAACGTTTTCCCAGGAGAGCTAATAGACTGCACTGGTTGGGACAGACAGGGAAAGTAGCAGATAGTATACAGATTAACTACTGGGTATTCCACGGGTTCCACGAGAGAAGACCAGGAGGGACATCAAGGAGATGTTGCAGAGATAATTTACCAGCAGGTTCACAAACACATGGAGTCACCAACTGCTAAGAGAGGGCTAGTGTTGCGATGAATGAAGACGTGATATCTGCCAAAATAAACCTCACAAGCTCAGAATGCTGAAGCAGAAGAAGAAGAAGTAGGAGAAGAATAAGAAGAAAAAGAAGAAAAAGAAGAAGAAGAACAACAATAACAACAACAACAACAACAAGGAGGAGGAGGAGGAGGAGAAGAAGAAGAACAAGAAGAAAAAGAAGAAGAACAAGAAAAAGAAGAAGAAAAAGAAAAGGAAGAAGAAGAAGAAGAAGAAGAAGAGGAGGAAAAGAAAAAGAAGAACAAGAAAAAAAAAGAAAATAATAATAATAATAATAATAATAATAATAATAATAAGAATAATAAGAAGAAGAAGAAGAAGAAGAAGAACGAGAAGAAGAAAAAGAAAATTAAAAACAATAAGAACCAGGGAAAGAGATGAACTGATGGAAAAAATTCTGAATTGATTGATAGAAGAACTTGGAAAGATCACTAGGCGAGCTTATTAAAAGTAGAGAGGACATATGTTTGTTGAGGAGCCTTGCCTCCTGCACCACTGGGTTTCGCACACGATGATTCTTCTTCTCTTCTTCTTCACTTCCTCTTTTACCGCTGTGGGTGTCGAGGGAGATATAAGGTTCTGTCTCTAGCTCTTCTGGCCGCCTCGACCACAGGCATATCGTGCTGTTGTAGAGTTTCTCTGATGTTATCCTTCCATATTGTTCTTGGTCTACCTCGTGCTCTACGTCCTTCTTCTCTTTCCATGTATGCTTTGTATGGTATGGTGTCACAAGGCATTCTCTCTAAGTGGGCAAACCATTTCACCTGCTGTCTTTGTATGTAATTTAGAATTGGTTCTGTGCCGACTTTTTCTCTTATGATCTCATTCCTGATCTTATCTCTTATGGACACTCCACGATGATTAATGGAACATATTCAGAACTGCGACTAGCATACCTGAGTATCCTGTGAGATCCTTGGCTTTCAAATCTTTAGCCTTCATCACTGTGATAGTCAGACGACCGATGTTTGGTTGGTAGCACAGGGACAGCAATAGCTCGCCCAACTTGCCCTGAAAATATAAGTTACACATTAATTAAACACGTTAACGCTATCAGAACATTAACAGAACTAGTAGTGTGTCCTATGCAGTATTGCGTGTGCAACTTGTTGATTTACTGTTTACATAGACGATGAACTACCTTTCTAATGATAGATCTTGTCAAAGGGTCTCAGTTTTATGTGCACAGCCGTTTCACAGATTCGGTTTATTTGTGTTTGGACTGTTGGTTTCCTGCCTCGCCGGCAGATTCGCTCCAACTTCGAAGGAAACGTTGATCTTATCAACGCTGGGTAGCCTCACACCCCCCCCCCCTTCCACCCCCTTGTGTTTGTGTGTGTATCGTGCATAACAACCCCCTCCCCAACAACCCTCACTAAGTACTAGAGTTTCGGTCCAAGCCACTAGTTCTGGTGCTATTAACCTTTCTCAGCCAACACAATTGGCACAAGGGAATCAGACCACAATTATAACCGATACTGCTCGTAGTAGGTTGAACGTGGTCGATTTTATGTTTTGTTTTTCATAAAGAAATGCATGGCTGGTCCTGAAGCACTACAATGTGTCGCTCAGCACCTCTGTATTCCCCTGAAGTGTTTGATAATTCGCTTATCAACAAGCATCCGTGTTAACCTTTCCATGACTCATACATCAGACGCCCGGCTCGCTATAACGACTCAGTTTCATACCAACTGTCCTGTGTGAATATATTCACGCGAGTGAGTGTTTACTGTACATTTACAGGCGGACATTTCCCCGTGTGGGTTCCGGGGCCCTATAGGGAAAACAAGAATATACCCACTGCCTACCCAAAAGTATGAAGTAAGATGTCGACTAATTGGAAGCTTCCTTTGAAGTCGGAGTGCATATGCCCGAGAGGCATGGAACCAATAGTTTGCACAAATATGAGTCAGATCTGTCAAACGTATGCACACGTAACACTCAGATTTTGAAACAGGATTGCAGTTCAGAAGTGGACGAACCACCAGAACTTTCCGCCAGAGTTTACAGCTGGTGAACGCGAAGAAGATGAAGAAGAACAGGCAGACATAACACCGTAGTCTGCAAATATCTTTTTAGAAACAAAGCAACAACAACAACAACAAAAAAAGTGTGCACGACAATAATTCTTCCCACTCTGCTGTGCACATGCCATCATCATCATCAGGTGCCTTGCCGACTGGCGTGGGCGATCATGCCTCTCCATAATCTGCGATCTCCTGCAGCATGTATCAGTTCGTATCTTTCCTTCCACAAATCTTTCCAGTGGTCACCACATGTTCCATTTTCACTCTTCTTATAACATGGCCGAAAAATGATGACTGTCTCCTTCTGATGTCTGTGATTAGTTGTCTTCCGGCTCCGGCCTTTTTCAAAACCTAGTGGTTGCCTTTTTTAGGCTGTCCAAGGTATTTTAAGCATTATTCGGTAAAACAACATCTCTGAGGCCTCAACAAATTGTTTGCCCTGCCTACCGACTGTCCAGGACTCATATCCATATGTTAAAACTGGATGTATGTAGCAAGCAAGACAAAGATATATTGCATAAGATGTTCTTTTAAAAAAAAATATAAAATGCAGTTTTTGCCTGTCCTATTTTGTTTTTTAATTCAGTAATGCATCTTTCATCTGATTTTATCCATGTGCCTAATTCGCATTTAAATCATCGTTCGCTCTGCCGTTCGTTCGATGTAATTTAAACACACCTTCATATTCTCGTTAGCAATATCTTCAAATTTGATTTGGGCAAAGACACCCCAAAAGAACGAAGAAAATGCATGCTCTCTCTCTCTCTCTCTCTCTCTCTCTCTCTCTCTCTCTCTCTCTCTCTCTCTCTCTCTCTCTCTTTCTTTCTCTCTCTCTCTCACACACACACAGATACACACACACAAAAGCAACAAAAAAGAACGCATTGCCTTTAAAGATATGTGCTTATGAGGCTAACAGTTAACATTGTAGAGACCACTTTTTCACTTCCAAATATAAGCAAAAATGTATTCACAACCTTACTTATCCGCTGCACCTTCACAAATTCAGATGGGGGATCGGTCGCATGTTGAGATAAATACAAAGACAATTTTTAGCAAGCTGCGGTTGGCATTTTATGCAGTATGATACACTTTGAGTGTGAAACAAGAGAAAAAAAAGTTTTTCGACAGTGGCGAGGAAAGACAATTTAAATTTTAACTTTTAAGTTTCTTCATGCCTTCTTTAATAATGTCACAATTTATAGCCGACTTTTCTTGATTTTCGCCGCGGCACCCCTGGCATACGAATCCAGTTTTAGAACCTCTGCTGTAATGCCTCGGTCGAGTCAGCAGGCAAAGACCTTGCCACCTGCTGTTACCACGCAACCGGGTCGCAGTTTTCCCCGCTACGACAGATTTAGGCAACGCTACTATTGTGTTAATGAGAGAGGTATTTCAGTCGATCGCAATGTATGCAGAAATCACAATTCGTATTCGGCCCGACCGCCACTATTCGGCCGAATACCGAATAGCTATTTGGTCCACTATTCGGCCCCGAAGCGAATACGAAGCGAATATTCGATACAGCCCTAATTTCTACTAAATAATTTGACAGAAACTGGTAGACTGTTGCATAAAACCGATCTGGGTGACGTACAGTCCTCAGCCACGGCACCTTGGCCTGTCAGGGAGCAGCGGTTGCAAACTGAGGCACCCTAGAAAGAGCTATATGGCTATACTATTTTTTAATCTGGGCTCAAACCTTTTGGGCTCAAACCTTTTGGGCTCAAACTGGACTCATCGGCCACCTTCGAACTCGTGATCATTTTAATAGATTCCTGAGTGGTCATCATCACTTGTAATGGATTTAATAAATATTTTTCTGCTAGTGTGAGCTTTGTATATCAGTTCTTTCTTGCTCATCTTGTACATAAGGAATACACACACACTCAAGCACAGTCACCCACATACACGTAAAGAGAGAGAGAGAGAGAGAGAGAGAGAGAGAGAGAGAGAGAGAGAGAGAGAGAGAGAGAGAGAGAGAGAGAGAGAGGATAGGGAGAGAAAGAGAAATTACTTGAAGTCGATGAAATGTCCCATTCAGATTCCACCAAAATGCCATCTTGATTCTGAATACTCTAGCACTGTCCTTAACCTTGAGTGCCGTCTGCAAGTCAAGTGGCCTCCCCTGCGACCATCTGTTCCGAGTGTGTGACTTCCTGTCCCCAGATTTTAAGTGGTTCATTTGGTGGTTCAGTACCGAGGCTCTATCTTCCGGCTGGATATCAGATGACTGTCTGTTTTAGCTTTCTATCTCATTCTTCTGTACTTTATCTGTCTTTCTCACTATGTCTGTCTTGATTTCTCTTTTAACCTCTACACATTCATAAATATCATTCCGTTTTCTTTTAAATTCACTAACATCTCATCAGCTCATGCAATGGCTTTGTCTCCTGTTTTTATTTTATGTCTGTCTGTCTGTCTGTCTGTCTGTCTGTCTGTCTGTCTGTCTGTCTGTCTGTCTGTCTGTCTGTCCGTCTGTCCGTCCGTCCGTCCGTCCGTCCGTCCGTCCGTCCGTCCGTCCGTCCGTCCGTCCGTCCGTCTGTCTGTCTACTGACACCGACCCACAGACACACTGATCCACAGACACACCGATCCACAGACACCGATCCACATACACCCTGACCTAAAAAACACATCGACCCACAAACACACCGACTGACCGGCGACCGACACATTGACATATACACAGAGCAACAAAACAATACAGTCAGCAAGTCCCTGGAATTTTCCTTCACCGTATGCAGTGTCAGGCCCAGAATGACTTTTGTGTCCCAAGGCAAGCAACTTGAAAAAAAGAAAGAGAAGTAGCTAGGCGACACTCAGTCAAGAGATTCAAAGGTTCAAATTATGTGTAAAATAATAACACTGTGTCTTTCTGTTGGGGGCAAAGAAAAACCCCATCTAACTTGCGTAGTCCGTGGCGTCAGCACTAGATTTATGGTTATAAATCCTCAGGCTCACCCTCCTCCTCTGTTACCTAAACAATGGTACATATAGGCATAACCGTCGTAACAGCCTTATGGGCACCTAGACAAATCAGTAAACCAGTGTACTGCCTCCTACCCCCGCCCCCCCCCCTCCACCACTACAACCACTCACAGGATTGAAATGTAAATAGTCCATTAAAGTAAAAATGTGGTTATTTTATTGTCCGTATTCCATAGTCGTGGATTTCAAGCTGTACGATAGACATGGCCAATGAGACACCTTTTTTTGGGGTGCCTAGTTGACCATGTATCTTAGTGCACTTGTATTCATGGCGAGGCGCAGACGCCGTCTGGAGGTGACAGGTTTAATTCCCGGCACGGTAACTATAGCTTTCGATTTTTATGTTGTCTAGTGTGTTCTTCTATCTTTCTACTTCTTTCTATGAGTGCCGTTCACAATACTTTCTGTTACTTGATTAATTATTTTATTGGCACATCAACAAAACTGGTCTAAAATAGGCACTCCTGCGAATAACAGCCCCAAATTACCTAGATCAGAAACCTACCCTTACAAGTCGTCAAAAGTTGCTTTCGTTTAAGTTGCATCTTTAAGCCTTCACTTGTTTTGGCTGTTTGCGTTATGGCTAATCCTAACACGGCCTCGAGAATCTGTGACAACAGCCCAACCGCGAAACTAACGACATTTAACATGTGCAACAAGAACATTCTACTCTGTTTCCTATTATTGTGTGTGTAGCAAGCCATTGCAAACACTGTAGTTTATTTTTCAGTTTTACATGTATAAGTCGGCAGGTCTAACATATACAGCCACCAACTCATAAGTCGTTGAAAATTATTGCTAACCGTGTCGGAGCTGATGGTCTGCCATCTTAAATCCATCCTAATTCTACGTATCACTGAGGCCCAGTAAGGGTACGATTTTGAGCTAGACAATTTGTGGCCGTTATTCGAAGGAGTGCCCTTAAACAATAAACACATGTTAATAGGTTAGTTGCGTATCCTTTACAGGACGTTGCAGAACCAACCCCAGCAG